TCCATTTTTGGAAATGCTCCCTTATATACACTTACTTTTATATATGACATGAATAACCAATTAGAAGCTCAGAATGTCCCCCTAGTGATTTTCTAAGCCTTTCTAATGTACCTAGCATCATTTCTTTCTTTTAAATCAAAATTGCAATGAAGTAGGTTGTGTCTTTAGTCTACTCGATATTTCACATTTTTTTAGACCCAAATACAGCTTAGTTACTACATTTGATAAATTATAGTAGAATTCTATGGTATTGTTGTAGTAATTTACGATTTTTTGGTTATTCAAAAGTATATATAAAATCTAAAAAAAAATTTTGTTTCATGTCCTCCATGTGCAAAATTTTTAAAGGCTTAGCAACCTACATCAGGCAGCAACCGAGTATAAAGGTTGTAACTAGATGAGATAATGGAATTGTTTGCTTTACTTCTTTATTTACTGTTCTCTGTTTTAAGAAAAATAAATTTAAGAACTTATTTCAAAATAGCAATAATCTATATACATATATAATGTATAGTAATTGAAATGTGACTGTATTTTACAAAATACTAGTCGACTAAAGTGCAGCCAGGACAAGTTACTTTGTACAGACCAAAGGTCACCTTTATGTTATTTGATATGGTAACATGAGAGTACGTGAGCTACGTCATTGTAATTTCTGTATTGTTAGCCAGGCACGGGTGAAAGGTCAATATAATAAAAATAATAAATATATATAAATGTATAATGTTATGAGATTTAAGCTATTTCATCTAAATATTTATGTTTTCGTGTTATATTTTGTGTTCATTCTAGAATGAAAGATGCATAATTTGTGTTTATTTCCTAATTTTTTTATGGTGGTTGCAAGATTGGTCAAATTTACCAAACCCATACAGAGATTAATTACTGAAAATATCAGATAAAATATAAAGTTTTTTCTTAAGAAACATTTGGTAACTATCCAGACATTATAAAGATTTTGCATGTAAATTTCGAAATTGTCTGATGCACAAAAGTATTTTTAATGTTAAGATGAAAATTATTTTGCATGATAGATAGGCAAGATATGAAAAAAAAAAGGCATGAGAGAAACATTGTTTTACAAACCTTACAACTTAAATAAAAAAATTAGATATTTTGCATATGAAAGTATTGTAATGTTTACTGATAAACTGCCAAATGTCGCAAACATTTGCTTACTAATTTAAAAATTATAGCATGAAAACTACAACAAGCACAAAATGGTTACGAGATCAGTCCCACAGACTGAGCCCGGGTTGAAAGAGTTAACAGGTGAATCTTTTATATTCATAAATTCTTGTAATTTGTGTAAACTTTTTACACTTGAATTTATAGGAAATCACTATTTGTATATTATGATGAGATATATTATAACTACTTTAAGACCCAAGTTGTAAGACTAATTTCAGCATACTTGCAAAAATCCCTGAGAACAATGAGCTTGTGTACTATTTCTACTTAATAATTACAATACTATAACCATAATGTTTTTTTAATGTCTGTTGGTTGAACAAACCTTTGGTCTTCCTCCTGTACAGATACACAGTTTTGTGTACATCACTACTGATCCATCAGATAGAAAAAGTTTCTGAAACCCAGAAATAAAAGTAATCATAAAACTAAAAGAAGATTTAAGTTCTATAATTTTATGCATTTGGTAAAGGAACTGTTTGATATATGTGTATGTACACATAGTGCTTGCCAAATTCAAGGCAACAGGTTGATTAAAAGAAGTGACCTGTAGACAGAATTTTTTATTAAAAAAGCTTGCTTTTTCACACAGTCAGTAATATTTGTAATAACATGACACATCACAGAAAAGAATACTACAGCATTTGAATTTCTAATAAGTATTGAAATACAACAAAGGAATTACAAATTGACATAATTTCACAGACTTTTAGATTTCCAATGTGCGACTCCCAGCCAATAAATGTGTATTAGCAAGTAGGTTTTCAGTTGCCAATACATGGCTGATACAGTTGGTGCTGAAAATTTTCATGGGCTTTACATAATTCTACATCACACAGAAAAGACTGCATGATTTGTTACTTTCAAACCATTGCAAATAGGAAAAGCAGCTGTGTTACATTTATGTCTAAAATGCATAATTTGCACAAAATTTAAAACTGGTGCCACTGATGCATATGTGCATCAACAAAAACACTGAGATAAATGCATTTTAATGGAATTGTCATAAATTAGAAATCAGTTCTACTGTGATGACAATCCCACGAGAGTCTCCTCTCAGAAATTTTGCTTGGTTGTACATTTTTATTACTTTATATATTTTTTTTTAGTTGGCTTTTATAGAATGAATAAAAATAATGCTCCTTCAAAGCTCATGCTAAAAAAGAATAATTCAAAGCATTGTTCAGTGTTTTTTGAAGGGAGAAAGCATAAAGACACAATGTATTATTGAGAAAATTGTCCTAAAAAAACCAGCCTTTGTATAAAGCCATGTTTTACAATAGCTCATCAATAAATAATGACTCAAAATGTATTCTACAGAATTTTATCGGTTTTATTTGCTATTTTACATTGATGTAAGTCAGGAAATACCGTTAATGGATGTGGTATTCAAAAAAAGACCCCAAAACCATGACAAGATATAAAAATAGATACACATCATGTGGTACTCATAAACAAATTTTAGCTACAGTGTCGATGACACTCATGTGTATAAAGGTAGAGATTTTAGTTGAATAAGTATATATGCCCATAAATACTGTATATGATATTATTTTACATAATTAAAATTCTCCTAATAAGAACAAACCAATGACACCTGGCAGCAATGAATGTGCTAAGCTACTAATCTGAATCCTACGACTTATTACTGGTTCTAAACGTTAGAGATATTTGGCAATTCTTGAATATATATATTTGTATTTTGTTTATATGCTTGATACTTAAGAAAATATTTTAATAGGTTTTTCTTTTAAGTCTACAAATATGAAATCAACAAATATTTTACTGATTGACTTGAAGAGCACTATTTAAGTCTTACATGATGCTGGGCATCCAGTTTGGTCACCAAGGCATGAATAACCTGAACATTAGGACATTCATGTTCTAATTGTGTTGAAGGTTTCTCCTCCACATCAAAGCTTTCCAAGGTTCTTGTTATCTGAAATTACACATGTAGATATATATATCAAAATGGTTAAATAGTACACCACTCAGATCTTCAGGATTTTTTTTTTACAGTCTTAAGCTCTCATAAAGTTAATTACTACCAACAATTATGTCTGAAAAACATTATCATCAACTATTGTGTTTCATATATTGAGAAAAACAGTTCCATTTATTTCAAAAGATTTGATAATGTATCCACTAATTTTTATTCTTATAAATGACATAGCTTTATTAACACAAGTTAAGATGAATGTGTTTGGTAGTAATAAGCATGATGAAACATATAACTTGAATAAAACAAGCTGTTGTTACATTCAGAATTTTGTGTATACAATTTTAAACATCTTTTAAGAACATCAATAAATTTTAGTTTGCAATATAATGTATCTCACTCTTCCATAATATTTATCTAATAATCACAAAATGTTTGAGTTTTCCTAAGTTCTGATTTGTTACAGAATAATTTGAGTGCAGTTTTGATCCTTTCACATCAGATTCATTCCAGCTATTAAAGAAGCAGAATCTGTGTTTAAATTGAGAGAGCTAGAATATGCTAGCAGAGTCTTGTCTGTGTCTTACCCATGCTTGCAATCTTAATTTGCAATAGTTTTAACACTTGATGATCAGCTTGTCACCTTCAGTTCATCTTCAATAAATAAAGCATTTTATGTTATTTCAAACTTGATTTCAACACTGTGTCTTGTCTCTTTCATTTCACCTGTAACAAATCACACCTGTTTTTCTATATACTAGATCCATGAACCTTTCATTTTTGCAGAATTTGAGTACCTTGTGTGATAGGTTTAAACTTCGTATTACCACAAAATCAAATGATGGATATACTTTTGATCCCCGACCCATTTAAAAAAGTATTTCAAAACTATTATTCATTAAATCATAATTTAACTGCCTTTATTACAAATTACTATTCAATTTAATATATAATAAGAAGTTTTATTATTTAAATTCAATATATTATAATTTTTTTTAACATGACAAAGACATTAGCATCTCCACAAGATTTTGCTTAAAGGATGTAGGAAAGCCATCCTTTTGGAGATACTTCTCAACTCGTGGACTCGTACACTGTATGATAGTTAAAGCATGCTGTGTTATTTATGCAAAAATATTTTATTATGTTGCAATGATCAGATCTAAATCTACAAAACTGAAATCTTGTGGAAGGCACAAGATTCCTATTATAGCTTTAGATGTAATTACAATAAAGTTGTGTTGAGCCAAACCTCTTTTTTTTTTTTACTTTGCTTTGGAAAAATACAACGTACAGTATTCAATACAAAACTAAGTGTTTACCCAGAAAATCAGTCTCTTTCCATAAAAGGAAAACCTGTTGCCTAATCTGAAAATATTTTGGTTATAATAATAATTTATTTTATCTTTCTGATGATATAAGAAATGATTTAAGATAGTTTGGAACCTAATTTTGGAAAGGTTGTGTTTGAATGAAGTAAATAATGGCAATGTACATAAATTGCTTTCTATTTTTTCTACATAAACTTTTAATAACCTTTTTGTACTGTAAATTCTGAAACAAGTTGTGAGAACACTAAAGAAAATCTGATACTTGGGGTATTTGAGGCACATGACAAGTTCATTTCTTTTATCAAAAGAAAATTGCAGCATTGTTTTAATAAACATTTTTTATTTACTTGAATGATACAATTACTTTTACAATACAATTTTTTATTTCCTTTCAAATATAGCTGATGGATGGTGGGTACCGTTTGGTATGACAGACTTTGCAACTAAACCTATACATCTGGAGTAACAATAATCACCTCTTGAGTAAAAAAACAAAATTTTAAGGATTCAAGCAACGTTAAGCATTTAAAATTTATAAACTATATGAACTCATCTACCGAAGAAAATTGTTTGAAATATCATAAAATATAAAAAATTTGTGGGTTCAATGTTATAACAATGATAACTTTCTTGCCAATAATTGGTGGGTATATTTTCTGTTATAACTCCTCACTAAATTTTAAAAAAATTAGCTTCTGTTCTTTATGGATATTACTGTAAATATTGTTTCTTCTAATTTGCATACAATATAACAATTCCTTTCTTCTCCATTTGTTTATAGTTTTCATGAAAAGCTACAAAATGGCTACCAGCAAGTAGCTGTCCCTAAACCTGAAATGATAGATTGGAGTGAAGACAGTTAGTTAACAGCATGCTTAGACTACTCTTGTCTGACCAAATAGTGGGATGTGACCATCACTCTTATAATGCATTCACAGCCTCAAAGTGAGTTTGTTTGTTTGTAATTAAGTACAAAGCTACATAATATGCTATCTGTGCTCTGATTACCACGGGTATCGAAACCCAGTTTCTAGCATTGTAAGTCCGCAGACATACTGCTGTGCCATTGGAGGCCTCAAAGTGAGGAGCAGGTTTGTGAGGCATTGGGACGCGAACTATGAACCCTTGTATTCAAAGGCCAGGCATGCTTGCATTCTTATTAGTTAAAACCCCAGCAACTTTCATTCAAAGTTTTATAGTTCAAATGAGTGTTTCTAGTTGCAGAATATAAAAACAACTTTATTTAGTAGAGTTAAAAAAATGGGAATTTATATATAAACAGAGTAAAAACAAAATTAGTTGCTTATCATTTTCAGACAATACAAATACTTTATTTAAAACATAAATTTTGAACAACAAATTTAAACATTTATAAGCTTATCAGGATTAACCCAGAGGTAAGTGCAACTCTAAATTTTACATGTAAAAGTACACTGGCAAAATTTTCTAACTGAACAGTGGAAGCACTTAAATGTAAAGAAAAATGTTTAATTTGCTTGGTTTTTGGTGGTCAGATCAAACTGAAGATGTTTCTAATTGTTCACCTCTAATACAACTTACATATAATGTTTCTTGTTTTTTTTTAAATTGCCCACATTTTTGATTCTATGGGTAGTTTTAGTTCTATTTACTATCATTTTAAAGCAGAGAAAAAGAATGTTGAAAATGCTCCTCATATTCAAATAATGCTGATTTCTATGATTATGTGAGAATATGCAAATTTCATTTGATATGTTCTATACTTTTATTGTTATGTATATGCCTAAAAATGGATGTTTTTTTCTCGTTTTATTTCCAGCATATATGTGAACTTATGGGCTAGATTAAAGAATTCAAGAATTTTTTTTACTATTGGTTAATATTTTAAATTTTTTCTATTCTTATAAAACTGGGAATATGAGCTGTTTGTAGCAAATTATGATAAAAATAGAAAGTTCTTCAACACAGGTGGTGAGTGAGTCTTTTGTTGGTGGGGGGGGGGGCTATTCTGTCACGTGTGGTGAGTTGCACAGTTGGGTTTGTTTGTAATTAAGCACAAAGCTACACAATGGGCTATCTATGTTCTGCCCACCATGGGTAATGAAACCTGGATTCTGGCGTTGTAAGTCCACAGACATACCGCTGTGCCACTGGGGGGCTGCACAATTGGGAAGGATCAGATCCTAAATGAGTAAATTCTCTTCAATGTCTCACTTTTACCCTCTTTCAATCTTTCTCTCCATAAATACTGAACAATATTTTTAAGTTTGTGAGAATAATGCTCTGTGAGGGAGTTTATTTTGGGAAGCTAAACCACACCTGCTTTTCAACATGTTTGAACAAAGAAGCACTGCAAATGAATCAAGTTAATTGTGAAACAAAGCATAAATATTTGACTTGATAAAAAAAACAACTAATTTTTAATGTTATTTTAAATCATAAACTAAATCTGAAATAGGGCACATTTGGCCTTGTGGTAGAACTCTGAACCTGACAGCTAGGGAGCTGGGTCCAAATCTGTGCAACACCATAAAGTATTTCCCCATACTTTAAGTTAAGAGTATATTATATGAGTGTCAGTCAATCCCTTAGCATGGATGGTGGATGAGGTGTTGTTGAATGGCTGCCTTCCTCCTGGTCAGTAGTTCTAAATTAGGGATGGCAGCGGATAGCTTTAGTAGCTTTGGTATAAGTACAATTACTCTAAAATCTAAATTTTTGTAACTGGACCTACCTTTCTTACATTTCTCACAGCTTTGATAACAGGTGTAGCAGATATCAGCAAAACTTGCTCTTCTGGACATTCAACAACTAACTTTAATAACAATAATATATATATAAATATATAACTTTCATCATATTTTTTATTCTTTTAAATATACAATTCAATAAACTATCACTTGAAAGAGCTCTTCAATCAGTAAAATCTTCTGAAAAAAAGTCTTATGCAATTTTATTTCTTTTCACAAGTTTTTAAAAGTTTTTCAGTAATAAGAATATCCTTAAAAGTTATTCTAAAATACTTTTTGTAAGAAAAGAAAACATACATACATATATAAAAATCAAAAGTTCTAAAGCTATCAAGTACATTAATGGTAAATAGGGGATTTTATAATCAGCAATATAAAACAATATTGATGAAATTAACATAAATCAAAAACATTACAAAGAGACAAAAAATCAACATTAATTTTTGCATTACCAGTCCTTGTTGTCATCATCAAAACTCATAACAAGTAATATCTGTGGCCATAACACCCAAATGCATTAGGGATATTCCATCAAACAGACAAGATACAGACACCAATGTCAAATTAGTCAGCAAATAAGTAAAACCAGTTAAGGGTTAGGAGTTGAGTGCTTGAACCCACAACTATTCAACTCCTATTGCCTTTTGCTGTCTGCAGCCAGTTGTGGGAAGGCAATTAACCTTAATATTTAGATACAACCTTAAAGAAGAAATAAACCACCCTAAATTTCTACAATGTAAAACTCCCAACCTCCATCCTTTTACAAGATGTACAAAAAGGCAAAAATATTCTCATAGTAGAAGCAGACCACCCTATAATTCTTCAAGACTCGCAACCTTCACCCATTTATTTAATAATTACAAAATGATGTTAAACAAAACAAAAACCCTTAAATGAATAGTTCTTAGTTCCCCCACCCTTTCTATTGGAAATTTGTTCAAGTATAAACCAGATGAGCTGAAACAAGACCAGCTACCTGAAATTGGTCTTTTTACCCCAGTATACTGAACAAAATAAATAAATATCTTAAGGTTAGTTATTATAAGCCAAGGGCAACCTTGAGTACCTAACAATCTCTATGTTCTTCACAAAGTAGTTTCTGTAACTGAGAGTTTACTTTTTAATATAATTTCATATTTATTAAAAAAAAGAAAAAAAAGAGTATACATTTTTTTTATTTGTCTGTCCTTATAACCATTATCTTTCAATTTACTTATGAATAATTGAACATTATCCATAAGAGAATTACTATTATTACAAATTGTTAAAAATCGTTTTAATTGAGAGATAATAGTTTCTTTTACCAGTATACACAGAATGACAAATTCCCTCCTTTTATCAAAAATAGTCAACTGTACTCTGCCTTCTACAAAAATTAATATCTAAGTCTAAGTAATGTGCATGAGCATCACTAAGCATTGTTTTTTTCTATTATAAGTTCCTTCGGATATATTAGGTTTGAATTAAAATTCAAATTGTTGATAGAGATTAAATAATTTATGCAATGAAAAGTATAGATATATATAAATTAGAGTTTGATACCTGTTTCAAAAATTAATTTTCATAGAAGAACAGTTGGCCATGTTTGAAGAGAAATTAGCACCCATCAGAATACCTACTATTTGCTTATATACCTGTTATAGATACAAAAATTAAGTATATTTTTTACGTTGATCTTAGTAAATTTAAATTTTGGAATAATTATTTCTGTATCTACAAATTTATCAAGTAGATCATTAAAAACCCTGATTAAATGTTTCAGACCTATTTGGCTGTTTTTAAAGAATTTAAGTTAATTTGAACATTCCAAAAGCAGAATATTATTCTTAATAAAAAAATAGTGGTTCAAATCAATTGATGACAGTAACAATTTTTTTCAAATAAAACATCTAGAATGTTACTGAGTACAACAGAAACAGGTTTAGTGACTGTGTTTAAAAGAGTTTGTAATAAGCCTGAACTTGTGTGTTTTATGCAATTTTGGAATTGCATATAAAAGTGAAAGTTAGAAAAAGTATAATCTATATTTATATTCCATTTTTAATAGCTTTCTTTAAGTTAGTAATAATTGTATTTTTATTTAAAGTGCTTGGGTGCTATGGCCACAGACATTATCCATTATGAGTTTTAATGATGACAACAAGGACTGGTAATGGAAAAATCAATTTTGATTTTTGACTCTCTTTGTGATTTTTTGATTTATATACATATAGATATTTAACTTTTTATCACAAACATTTAATGAATTAGGAGGCACTTTAAAAATAAATTTATATATACACATATGGAAATGTTTTCACTACTTAATTATAATATTATTTAGATAACCAGTACTGCAAAAATTGTACAAAAGCCAACTTTGTGTATGAGTGTAAATTCTAAAATAATTCTTTAAAGATAATTTAGTTTAAAAGTTTTATTCCTATAGGATGCTTTTTATCAGAAAAATGAGGTATAGTAGTGGAACAAGATGGTAAAGATGTTTTTTTTTCCTGATTAATCTCATCAACACATGAGCTTCAATAAGATCACCTTTTACTCTTTTCTCAAGAACAAAATACATTAAGAGATCTTAACGTATCCCCATACAATAACCATTCCATCATAAAATTATTCTAGTAGTCCTCTTCTAAATTCTTTCCATTAAGTTAATATCCCTAAAACAAGGAGACCAAAACCATTTCCAACATTTATGAAGCTTAACTAGTGTCGCAATTAATATAGCATTTAAGGACAACAAGGATCCTGCTGATCCTTTGAGGCTGTCCCCATCCACTAAACTTTAAAAAGACCCAACAAAACATAAAACTAGCCTTCAGCATTTAGATACTTATCAAGCCTTTCCTTAAACTCTCTTAAATTTACTACACCATCACATCTGAAGGTAACACATTCCAAAGGTGAACCATCCTGTCAGAAAAACAAAACTGTCTTATTTAAAGTTGACTCCTGTCCAGCCAAAATTTATGTGTCACCTTGCCTTTCCTACCATTCTCAGCAAAGTACAAAAAAAAAAAAGAGGATGTATTGACATTATCACTTTTCTTAATCATAAACATCTCAATAAGATCCCTTCTAACACTCCTTCTTTCGAGAGAAAACAATTTCAGAGACCTTAACCTATCTTCATATGATAACCTTTCCTTCACAAGTACCATCCTAGCAGCCCTTCTTTAAACCCTTTCCAACAATTTAATGTCCTTAAGGAAAGGTGCCCAAGACTGAACACTGCTCCAAATGAGATCTAACCAGTGACATGTATAATAAAATTATAGCCTCTTTAGACTTATATTCAATATTTCTGTAAATACAATCTAAGATCCTAGTTGCCCTACATTATCAACAGCACAACTGCTTAAGAGACTGACCAAGCAAAACAAAAAGACCCTTTTCTTCCATAACACTGTTTAAGTTATTCCCATCCAAAGTACACTTATAATTTAAATTATGATAACTCATATGCATTATAGTTAAAAAAAATCTATTATTTATTTGCCAAACACACCAAATAATCTAAATCATTTTTAAAACAACAGCATTCTAATCACAACCAACAATACCCAAGATCTTAGTATCATCTGCAGATTTAAACAGCTAAAGACCATAGGCCCTAATACTGAGCCTTGAGGCAACCTACTTGTGACATTAATCCAGTTTGACTAAACTTCATTTATACCAACCCTATGCTTTCTTCCATACAACCATTTTTTCAATCTAACAAGCCAAACTGTACCCCACATCTATAGAGATAACTTTTTGACAAGTTTTTTGGTGTGGTTCCTCATCAGAAACCTTTGGAAAATCCAGACACATCAAATCCACATCCTACATAAGCACTAATATCTCAAAAAGAATGTAAAAAAATTAGTAAGACAAGATTTACCCCCTAGTGAAACCATGTTGACTATCCAACAAAATGTTAATTTTTTTCTCATGACTTTGCAAAACATCTTTTATTAGAATTTCACTAACATTTCCCACACTGTTATAAGACTAATAGGCCTATAAGTATGATTACCCAGACAAATGTTATGACCTTCTTTGTAAATAGGAGTAACATTAGAGAACTTCAAATCTCCTGGCACCTGCTCACCCAACTGATACTGATAGTAATAAACTTATAGTTATAAAGCAAAGTAAACCTATCTCATTCTATTTTTCGTCCTTCCACACAATTTCCCAAAGGAATCTTTAATGGTATGCAGTTTAAAATACTATGTATATCTTCACTCATCAAGTATCACAACCTGCCTGAAAACCTAGCTGAAAACTAATTTAAAATTTATTGGTAAAATAAGTTCAGTATTTATTATGATATAATTGAAAAACTAAAAAGAAATTATGGTGGGTGTTGATTTACCACATCACTGTGATCACGAACACAAATGTGAAATGCTTGTTCTAAATTTCACCCCTTTCGTCATGCATTGGATTTTCTTTCGAAGCTTCACTTTCAATTTGACGAATCCCGTCCAGTGACAACGTAGACGACCGGTCCCATTAAATGAGGAATTTATCTTTAAAAATACTAATGTTATTACAAAAACAGATGCAAGCCAATGAACTCTCTTACTTGTTCTGCACAGGTCACACCAGCTATTCCACCACCCACAATAGCAAACCTGCAATTTCTTCTAATAATCGCGCTAGAGGAAGTTGCCATTTTGAAGTAGATCTTCCTGCCATCTACTGGGTCTGTAAATCTAAAGTTAGATTTGTAAAAATATATTATCAGTTTTATTATTATTATTATTGTAATGCAATATCACACAGACCATCTATCAGTAGATCACGATTTGTCATTATAAAGCGTTATATACTATATATTTGAATTAAAACATATTGAGGTTTGGTGTTAAGTAGCAACTGTAACGTTATAAACCCTCAGCTTACTATTTCGTTCTACACTAAAAGGTTTC